CAATAAATCCAAAATAAACTTTAACAAAACAAATTATCCAAATTTGAGTTTGAAACTAAATTTGAATTTGTAATGAAAACATAGTGCACAAAATACAGTAAGGTGAAATAAGATGATTCCTATTTAGGCTGCTTAAGATGTTACTAAACCCAAAACAGTAAAAATCAGTCTGTAGATGTAGGAAAGCATGCTTGCTATACTCACTGTGGAACCCAACGGGTTAATCCTCTGCATTGTGTAAAAAAACCTGTCATCTCTGATCCTCCCCTTCTTCTATTGTCCCCAGTCCATCTCCTGATAGAACAGAGCTCTAGGAATCACTCTGCACATGCTCAGTTCAGTGTGTTTTGCTTTTCTTTGGGAGGGTGCATGTGATCAGCACAGGGCCAATCAGCACTGTCCAGACAGAGGGTCAGAGTTCATGCAGCCTTATATGACAGTCAGAGGAGAATGAAAACTCCTCCCACAAGCTTTAACAAGTGCTGCCCAAACACTGATAGAAGTCACAAACCTGCTTACAGTATACTACTGACGAGAAAAGGTATTTAGCAGTTTATACAGTGGGGAAAATAACTATTTGATCCTCTGCAGATTTTGTAAGTTTTCCCACTTACAAAGAAATGAAGGGTCTATAATTTTATCATAGGTGTAGTTTGTTGATAGAGACAGAATATTCGCCAAAAATCCAGAAAAAAAACACGATACAAATGTTATACATTAAGGTGCAGTTCAGTGAGTAAAATAAGTATTTGATCCCCTACCAACCAACAATAATTCTGGCTCCCACAGACTGGCTTTGTGCTCATGTGGTACTCGGGTTACTCCTGTAAATTTAAGAAGGTGCTCCGAATGGCAACTCTTTACGTGTATAAAAGATACCTGTCCACAGAATCTCTTTCATTCAAACCTCATCACCACCATGGGCAAGACCAAACAGCTGTCAAAGGACATCAGGGACAAGATTGTAAACCTGCATGAGGCTGGAATGGGCTACAAGACCATCAACAAGGAGCTTGGTCAGAAGGAGACAACTGTTGGAGCGATTATTCGCAAATGGAAGAAATACAAAATAACCATCAATCGCCCTCAGTCTGGAGCTCCGTGCAAGATTTTGCCTCATGGGGTAAGGACGATCATGAGAAAAGTTTGAGAGATCATCCCAGAACTACACAGGAGGAGCTTGTGAATGATCTCAAGGCAGGAGGGGACCACAGTCACCAAAAAAAACCATTGGTAACACAATACGCCACCATGGACTGTAATCCTACAGTGCCCGCAAGGTCCCCCTTCTCAAGAAGGCACATGTACAGGCCTATCTGAAGTTTGCCATTGAACATTTTAATAATTCAGAGAAGGGTTTGGAGAAAGTGCTGTGGTCAAATGAGACCAAAATTGAGCTCTTTGGCATTAACTCGACTCGCTGTGTTCGGAGGAAAAAAAATCCTGATTATGAGCCTAAGAACACCATCCCTACAGTCAAGCACGGAGGTGGAAACATTATGCTTTGGGGCTGTTTCTCTGCTAAAGGTACAGGCAAACTTTGCTGCATTGGGGGGCCAATGGACAGGGTCATATATTATAAAATCGTGGATGAGAACCTTCTTCCTCTCAGCCAGAACACTGAAGATGGGTCGTGGATGGGTCTTCCAGCATGACAATGACCCAAAACATACCACCAAGGCAACAAAGGAGTGGCTCAAGAAGAAGCACATTAAGGTCATGGCGTGGCCTAGCCAGTCTCCAGACCTTAATCCTATAGAAAATTTAGGGAGGAAGCTGAAACTTTAAGTTTCCAAGCAACAGCCAAGAAACATTAAGGATTTAGAGAAGATCTGTAAAGAAGAGCGGACCAAAATCCCTCCTGAAATCTGTACAAACCTGGTAACCAACGACAAGAAACGTCTGACCTCTGTGCTGGCCAACAAGGGTTTCTCCACCAAGTACTAAGTCATGTTTTGCTTGGGGATCAAATAATTATTTTACTCACTGAACTGCAACTTCATTTGTAACATTTGTATCGTGTGTTTTTTTATATTTTTGGTTAATATTCTGTCTCTATCATTTAAAATACATCTGTGATAACAATTATAGACCCTTCATTTCTTTGCAAGTGAGCAAACCTACACAATCTGCAGGGGATCAAATAACTATTTTCCCCACTGTATTTACTAAAATAATTGCATTCCCCCGTGTTTTGTGGGAGACTAGATATAGTGAATGCAGGAAATCAAAAATGAGAATGGTGTAGCGCTACAAATAATAATAAAGATATGTGAAAATGCATAAATAAATTACTAAATAAACACTCAATAAAATACATAAATAAACGTATATAAGTGATAGATCCTCAAAGGGTCTAAAATAAGTGTCACAAAAAGTGATAAAAGTGCATACATCAGTCAGGTCCCAAACTTGGACCTACATAATAAGTGAATAATACCCACTCCCAAATGGGATAAACACACTCAAAACAAAGTGACATATAAAGTGAATCCCAATGCGGGATAAACATGTATGTCACTTTGTTTTGAGTGTGTTTATCCCATTTGGGAGTGGGTATTATTCACTTATTATGTAGGTCCAAGTTTGGGACCTGACTGATGTATGCACTTTTATCACTTTTTGTGACACTTATTTTAGACCCTTGGAGGATCTATCACTTATATACATTTATTTATGTATTTTGTTGAGTATTTATTTAGTAATTTATTTATGCATTTTCACATATATCTTTATTATTATTTGTAGCGCTACACCATTCTCATTTTTTATTTCTTGTTGCACCTATAGGTATAGGATAGGGTGTCAGCTGCTTAGTTCATATATTTACAGGTTCCCTTTGAGCACAGGGGGATTTTATCTTAATTTATAGTGATTGAAGGGTCCTGGGTTTAGTAACACTTGAACAGAATAGAATATATAGAAAATCCGCACGTTTCTAACCCCAGAAACCACTAAACAGCTCATCCACTCCCTCATCATATCACGACTCGACTACTGCAACTCCCTCCTCACTGGCCTGCCTCGCCGCTGGCTATCCCTGCTTCAGTCGATCCTGAATACGGCTGCCAGACTCATTCACCTTTCCAACTGCACCATCTCCGCCACCCCCCTCTGCCAATCCCTCCACTGGCTTCCGATTGCGCAACGCATCAAATTCAAGATCCTAACATTGACGTACAAAGCTGTCCACCATACTGCCCCGAACTACATCACTGACCTAATATCCAAGTACCACCCAACACGCACACTCCGCTCCTCACAAGACCTCCTTCTCTCTAGTTCCCTGGTCTCCTCCTCCCATGCCCGCCTCCAGGACTTCTCCAGGGTGTCACCCATCCTCTGGAACTCCCTGCCCCAACCCATCAGATTATCACCTACTCTCCTTTAGGCGCACTCTGAAAACCCACCTCTTCAGGGAAGCCTACCCCACCCCCTGCTAACTTGCCGACCTCCTCCACTCTTCCTACCACTCCATCCCCCACAGCTATCTCCTCCTGTACCACCATCCCCTCCCTCCTAGATTTTAAGCTCGAAAGAGCAGGGCCCTTGATCCCCTCATGTTTTGCATTGTATTGGTATTGTTCTGTCACATGTTCTGCCCCCCTTTGTAATGTACAGCGCTGAGCGAGCTATTGGCGCTTTATAAATACTGTATAATAATAATAATAATATACAAGAACAGAATAAAATGGAAGAGAATAGAAAATAGAATAAAACAGAAAAGAATAAAAAATAAAAGAATAGAATAGAAAAACTATAAAAAAGCATAGAATAAAACAGAATAGAAAATAAAGGAACAGAATGGACCAAAATTGAATGGAATAGAACAGAACAGATTAAGAAACAAAAGAAAAATATAGAGACTGAAAGCATAGAATAGAACCTAAAGGGATAGAATAACATAGAATATAGCCATCTTCTGAAATTTTAATTTCAAACTGTTTTGAAAAATTTTAAATTTTGAATCCGTTTGATAATAATGAATGTATGAAACGAATCCAAATATACAAAATGAATTCCGAAAACAAATCATTCATTCTAACATGACAAAGATGACGAAAAAAATTATTAAGTTAACGAATGAATCGGAAACAAAGCAAATTTTTCTGTCATGCACATCTCTAAAAGAAAATATATAAAGAAAATATTATCTTAAGCATTTGCCCCCTGAAATGTGTTTGGATGTTTTTGTGTTTCTTTTACTTTCCATTACTTGTGATATTATTAAAGGACTTTGGACTCATTAAGCTTGGCACTCCTTTTGCTCTTTTTGCACTTGGATCTCTTAGGTTCTGTGGCCCTCATTTCTTGGAAAGGGTCGTCCCCTTTATAGAGAGCAGCTGAACCAAAGTTATTAGGCATAACCAGTGATTTCTGTTTGTGGGATATGCAGGCCATAGATGGGGAGAAAAACTGCAGATTTTTCTTTTAAAAAACGAAAAATCGGTTGTTCAAGTGGCCGACGTTACCATCAATGGTAAAAAAAATCGGCCGATTTTCTACCCGTCTAGAGGCGGCAAAAAGTGTCCCTGCAGAGAGCTCTGCTATTTCTTTGACAGTTCTCTGACAGTTCCTTGACATTTATAGAAGTTGCAACAATGTATCTATTTGTTTCCATTTAGGATACAGATGTTTTTATTCGGAAACAAATAGATACAATGTTTCAACCGCTGTAAATGTCAAGGAACTGTCAGAGAACTGTCAGAAATAGCGGAGCTCTCTGCAGAGACACTTTTTGCTGGACTGGAATTCTTCTTATTTTCATACTTCCTCTTCCTCTTCCTCTTCCTCTTCCTCTTCCTCTTCCTCTTCTTCTTCCTCCTCTTCTTCTTCATCCTCTTCTTCTTCATCCTCTTCTTCCTCTTCATCCTCCTCTTCCTCTTCATCCTCCTCTTCCTCTTCTTCTTCATCCTCCTCTTCCTCTTCTTCTTCATCCTCCTCTTCTTCTTTTTCTTCTTTTTGTCTTCCTCTTGCAGGTCACTGCTCATGCGCAGATTTTTTATCGGTAAAAAAAATCGGCCGATTTGCCCACTAATTGCCGCGAAAATCGGCCGATCGGCAAAATCGGCCGATTTTTTTTCCAACTTTACTGAAAAAAAAAAACGGCCAAAATACCGAAAAACGGCGACCAAATCGCCCACTAACGATCCGAAAATCGGCCGATTTTATTTTCGGCCGAAAAATCGGCCGATTTTCGACTCATCTATGGCCTGCATAAGTCCTGCATCAAGTACCACACTCCCACCTACCCACCATAGAGAACAAAGCTTTTTGCCTTGTGCATAGGTTGGGACCAACGCAGTTCACCGCATGTTGCGTTAATAAACCCTAATGCAGGCGAAAATAAAATCGGCCGATTTTCGGATCGTTAGTGGGCGATTTGGTCGGCCGTTTTTCGGTATTTTGGCCGTTTTTTTTTTTTTTTTTTTTTTTTTTTTTTTTTTTTTTTTTTGGTAAAGTTGGAAAAAAAAATCGGCCGATTTTGCCGATCGGCCGATTTTCGCGGCAATTAGTGGGCAAATCGGCCGATTTTTTTACCGATAAAAAATCTGCGCATGAGCAGTGACCTGCAAGAGGAAGACAAAAAGAAGAAGAGGAAGACGATGAAGAAGAGGATGAAGAAGAAGAAGAGGAAGAAGAAGAGGATGAGGATGAAGAAGAGGATGAGGATGAAGATGAGGATGAGGATGAAGAAGAGGATGAGGATGCAGAAGAAGAAGAGGATGAGGATGCAGAAGAAGAAGAAGAGGATGAGGATGAAGAAGAGGATGAGGATGAAGAGGATGAAGAAGAGGATGAGGATGATGAAGAAGAGGAGGATGAGGATGATGAAGAAGAAGAAGAGGATGAGGATGATGAAGAAGAAGAGGAAGTAGGATGAAAATAAGAAGAATTCCAGTCCAGCAAAAAGTGTCTCTGCAGAGAGCTCCGCTATTTCTGACAGTTCTCTGACAGTTCCTTCACATTTACAGCGGTTGAAACATTGTATCTATTTGTTTCCGAATAAAAACATCTGTATCCTAAATGGAAACAAATAGATACATTGTTGCAACTTCTATAAATGTCAAGGAACTATCAGAGAACTGTCAAAGAAATAGCAGAGCTCTCTGCAGGGACACTTTTTGCCGGCTCTAGACGGGTAGAAAATCGGCCGATTTTTTTTTACCATTGATGGTAACGTCGGCCACTTGAACAACCGATTTTTAGTTTTTTAAAAGAAAAATCTGCAGTTTTTCTCCCCATCTATGGCCTGCATTAGGGCTCGTTTACACTAGCAGCGCTCTCTGAAGAGTGACCTACTTTCAAATCGCTCTTCATAGATCATTTGGCAGGGGGGGAGGAGGTGTTGTAACACTTTCTCACCACTTGCTTTAGCCGCTCGAACCACGCATTAGCGTGCCGCTCGGAACACTTGCAGAGCACCCCCTTTTAATTGAATTGGTAGCGTTCAGCAGAAGCTACACCCGCGAAAAGCGACAGTGGGTATCATTCCTGCTGCAGTAGATGCATGTTTACACCCCTGGCCAATAACATATGAGAAGAAACCGGTGCTACTACCCGTTAATCTATCAATAGAGCTCGCAGGTGTTTGATCTTCAGTCACTCATCTGAAAGTACTAATCCATATAGATGATCCACACAGCCAATGTTGCTTCTAAAATCTTGAATTTATTCCAAGAACCACAGTGTACAGTACGAAAAAAATACAATTAGTTAACTAATTGTACTTTGCACACTGTACACTGGTTCTTTGAATAAATACAAGATTTTAGAAGCAACATCGGCTGTGCGGATCATCAATATCAGTGGTCTCCAAACTGTGGCCTGGGGGGCCGGATGTGGCCCTTTGCTTGCTTTTATCTGGCCCTCAGGGCCCTGTTTCATCCACTGACACCAAAGATGGGGCGCAATTCCTCCCAATGAGACCAATGATAGGGCACAACTCCTCCCAATAAGACCAACGATGGGGCACAACTCACAATGAGACCAACAATGAGGCACAAGTCCTCCTAATGAAACCAACAATGGGGCACAACTCCTCACAATGAGACTAACAATGGGGCACAATTCCTCCAAATTAAATCAATGATGGGGCACAATTCCTCCCAATGAAACCAACGATGGGGCACAACTCCTCCCAATGAGACCAACGATGGGGCACAACTTCTCCCAATGAGACCAACGATGGGGCACAATTACTCCCAATGAGACCAACGATAGGACACAACTCCTCCCAATGAGATCAACAATGGGGCACAATTCCTCCCAATGAGACCAACATTGGGGCACAACTCCTCCCAATGAGACCAACGATGGGGCACAACTCCTCCCAATGAGACCAACAATGGGGCACAATTCCTCCCAATGAGACCAACGATAAGGCACAACTCCCAATGAGACCAACGATAGGGCACAATTCCTCCCAATGAGACCAACATTGGAGCACAACTCCTCCCAATGAGACCAACGATGGGGCACAATTCCTCCCAATGAGACCAACATTGGGGCACAATTCCTCCCAATGAGACCAACAATGGGGCACAATTCCTCCCAATGAGACCAACGATAGGGCACAATTCCTCCCAATGAGACCAACGATGGGGCACAATTCCTCCCAATGAGACCAACATTGGAGCACAACTCCTCCCAATGAGACCAATGATGGGGCACAATTCTTCCCAATGAGACCAACATTGGGGTACAATTCCTCCCAATGAGACCAACATTGGAGCACAACTCCTCCCAATAAGACCAACGATGGGGCACAATTCCTCCCAATGAGACCAACATTGGGGCACAATTCCTCCCAATGAGACCAACAATGAGGCACAACTCCCAATGAGACCAACAATGAGGCACAATTCTTCCCAATAATACCAACAATGGGGAGCAATTCCTCTCAATGAGATCAACGATGGGGCAAAATTCCTCTCATTGACACCAAAGATGGGGCATTGTTTACTCCCACTGATGCTAGGATATTTTCTACTCCCCGATGATCCCTCCTAAGATCTGAAGGACAGTAAACTGGCTCTTTGTTTGAAAGTTTGTAGACCTATATGGATTAGTACCCCTGGCCACTGCCTCTGCAGTTAAAGGGGGTAGCGGTTGAAGGGTGCTAAAAGGACAGCATAACCGCAGGGTTTTGATGCCCCTCAACTACTAGTGTGAACAAGCCCTAATAACACTCTCCTTTTTTTTTTTTTTGTTGATGTGTTTTTCCATTTAAAGCAATGGAAGCGCATCAAAATGCATGTCAACATAATATAATATATGTTTTAACGTGTTGGAAGATGCATTGACTTGTATTTTGATTTGTTTAGGGCTTATTCACACCACAGAGTGTACATTAAAAACATACATTGGGTAACAATGCCCTGTACAGCTGGTGTGAACGAGCCCTTCATCAGGCATAAGCGCAAAGATGGGTGTTGGTATCTCAGCAAACATTCTGCTTGATTCGTGACTTTTCCAGGCTAAATTATAATGCCAAGGCTTTATAAATAAGGGAGTTGAAACCAAAATTAGGGAGTGAAAAACAGTGGACTCTGCCAGTTTCCATAGCTATGATGACATATTAGTCTTGAAAACTTTTGTAGATCGAATAAGAAATAATGATGGAATCTAAAATTGGAGAGCAATTGGCTGGAAGTGGATTGGACTGAGCTCAGTCTTTGAACAAGTGTTTGCTTGAATAGACTGAATTATGAAAAAAAGAGGAAGAATGTCAAAGTGACCATTTTGAACTCTTTATAGAACTATGCAGTAGAATTTAACCACTTGCTAACCTCGCTATACTGAATGAGGGCTACAGCACGGTTGTCCAGTTCTGGGAGGGCGTCATATGATGTCCTCCCGGAGCGTGCCTTCAAAGGGTGCGCACTTGGCGATCTCCGTGGTTGCTGTGTCCTATGGAAACAGCTGATCACGTGATGTGGTAAAAGGCCAATCACAGCAGCCTTTTACCACGTGCTCTGCTGTGTCCAGTGACACAGCAGATCACCGGTAAATGCAGTTGCCGGTTATCGGCTGCACTTTCCTCACGCTGTCACGGACGGCAATTGTCAGAGGACGGATTGGCACCGATCATCAGTGCCCTGATGATCAGTGCCCAGCAGTGCCACCCACCATTGCCCATTAGTGCCTAGTAGTACCACCCACCAGTGCCCATCAGTGCTGCCCATCAGTGCCACCCATCAGTGCTGCCAGTCAGTGCCGCTTATCAGTGCCCATCATTGTTGCATATCAGTGCAGCATCATCAGTGCTGCCTATCCATGCCATCTCATCAGTGTCCATCAGTGCTGCCTATCAGTGCAGCCTCATCAATGCACATCAGTTGAAGGAGAAAAAGTACCTGTTTGGAAAATTTTATAATAGAAACAAAGAAAAACTTTTTTTTCTCTAATTTTTGGCTCTTTTTTTGTTTATATCGCAAAAAATAAAATACCCAGCGGCGATTAAATACCACCAAAAGAAAGCTCTATTTGCGTGAAAAAAATAACAATTTCATATGGGTACAATGTTGCATGACCACGCAATTGTCACTCAAGGTGCAACAGCACTGAAAATTGGCCTGAGCAGGAAAGGGCTATAAGTGCCCGGTAGGCAAGTGGTTAAATGTGTAGTTCTGTTGTATCTTGAAGCTGTTCTTGTTTTTACCACTAGAGGCAGCGCTGACCTTCTATTCCATTGATTGTGCCTCTCCAAGTCCCATGGGTACAAAATAAAGACAGTTCATAAACACTAATGCAGGCCATAGATGGGGAGAAAACCGGCCGATTTTTCTTTAAAAAAAAAAACGAAAAATCGGTTGTTCAAGCGGCCGACGTTACCAGGAACGGTAAAAAAAATCGGCCGATTTTCATCCCATCTACAGCCGGCAAAAAGTGTCCGTGCAGAGAGCTCCGCTATTTCTTTGACAGTTCTTTGACATTTATAGCGGTTGCAACAATGTATCTATTTGTATCCATTTAGGATACAGATGTTTTTATTCGGAAACAAATAGATACATTGTTGCAACCGCTATAAATGTCAAAGAACTGTCAAAGAAATAGCGGAGCTCTCTGCAGGGACACTTTTTGCCGGACTGGAATTCCTCTTCTTCATCCTCTTCTTCTTCCTCTTCTTCTTCCTCTTCTTCTTCTTCATCCTCTTCTTCATCTTCTTCATCCTCTTCTTCATCTTCCTCTTCTTCATCCTCTTCTTCTTCTTCATCCTCTTCTTCTTCTTCATCTTCTTCTTCTTCTTCATCCTCTTCTTCTTTTTCTTCTTCTTTTTGTCTTCCTCTTGCAGGTCACTGCTCATGCACAGATTTTTTTATCGGTAAAAAGATCGGCCTATTTGCCCATAATTGCCGTGAAAATGGGCCGATCAGCAAAATCGGCTGATTTTATTTCCAACTTTACCGATAAAAAAAAATCTGCCAAAATACCGAAAAACGGCCGAACAATTAGCCCACTAACGATCTGAAAATTGGCCGATTTTATTTTCGGACTCATCTATGGCCTGCATAACTTCCAAAGACTTCCATGGGAACACTAAGTACATTATTCACAAAAAATGTCTAAATTGGGTTTATTGTACAAACAACATTAAAACGATAAAAAAAACAATTTCAGATTATGAGCCTTGTTGCATAGTGTCATCTGCTATTAAATTTATTTTTACTATTCAAAGCAAACTCACCCATCTATCCCTGTCTTCATGTCCTCCATGTCTCCATACCCTCTTAATCCTCTTGCATTGAATTGTATTGGTACTGTACTGTCCCCCTTTATATTGTACAGCAC